GTCTTCACTCTCGCCTGTCGAGACCCCATGAGTGGCCCACCCTGATGCGGACTGCAAAGCCGCAGCCTATAGCTCTGGATTCTCTAGACCTCTCCCATTCAAATATTAACCTGCCCCAACCCAGATTAGTTTATTTCAATGAACATCAAGAAAGCCCGTATTTCACACCAAACTTTAGGGAGGGAAGTTCCAAAGCAGGACGGGAGATGGCAATAAACTAGACTATTAAGTTAAAAAAAAAATCCTGGAAAAAAACAAATGGCAAACCACTTCTGTACTGTCACTAAGAAAATGACTCGGATGTGTCTCTGAAGTCATCAGGAATCAAGTCTGACTATTTTTACAACGAATGGATAAAGAACATTTCTATTCGTCACACTCCATGCATGTCACCATGCTCCCTTTCAACCTCACCTCCCAGGGATGCAATGATTATTAAGCTGCCAGGACGGAATTATACATTACCATCACCACATTTGTCCATTTGGAGATAAAAAGGTGGAATCTCCTGGCTTGAAGTTATAGGGGTTGGATATGCACCTATGGAGTGTATACAAAGTGCCCACCTCACTGTAGAATTCATAAGAAATTCCCATTCCATCTAAAAAAAGTAGAATCAGTACCTTGTGCTTTCCAGATAGGTCCAGGTGTATAAATGCAATGGTTATAACCTTATTCTTTGTTCTATACAAAATACGTTGTTTATATTATTCGTCCATTGTCCCTGACTGATTTGTTAGAACATCCTGTGGCTTGAATAACCCCCAAATCTATTCCATAATAAAATAAATTAACATCATTTAATCACTCAGTTAAATTATCCGCAGAAAATTATTGTGTCACCATAATAGAGTCTCTCCTTGAAGAATAGCACCTTAGAAGAATGCTTTCAATAATTCCTCCCCTACAAGTTATATCATGTGCCGTCATTTAACTAATATGGTCACAGAACAGATAACAGCAGCACTTTAATATTTCATACTGTTTTTTCAATACCTTGAAGGATCCATTTTAAAACCAATTATGACTATATTTTTATTAGTATTTATCTTCCTCAGTCCACAGCCATGTCAATATTTTTAAGCCTCCAAAATTAAG